TTCTCACTATTAAGTAGTTGCTTATTAGCATGCATATTACTAGCGTATTGGCTGTTTATTAGTACTTAAAGCACATATGAATATTCTAGATCCCTTAACCCGACCCAATGCTTAAACTTAACAACTACCTTACTAACTATAAATAAGCAGCAAGGGAAAACTCTTAGTTAACAGTGAATGTGCGTTCCCTATTCTGAAGTGTTTCCGAAAATACATGCTATCATTCTGTCATGATTCATAACGAATGTGACGAATCAAGAAACATTAGGCATACGTTTTGTTTAAGGAATTGGGATCATGTCAAATTTCAAGACATGGTTACAGCCTTGTTCCGGTTAATATGTGAAAGGTCAAGGTGAGTGCATTGCATTATGGGATACAGTTTTCCATACAGTATGACTCCATACTGCAGAAATAGTAAGAGGAGTAATCTAGTACGCTGAATTGAAACGTACACCTTCAAGATTAGAGAAAGGTGTGAAATTCCATGCATACTGCACAAAGTATACATACTGCATAAATAGTAATAGTAGTATGCTATTCCAGACATAGCCAAAGTAACACGGACACCTTTAAGGCAACATAAAATGATATGACATCAACACACACACACCTCCATTCTGGTGGCTTCTCCTCCCTTCACTATAGGCACTGTTTTACCAGCATGTATCCGATACTGACCAATAGAGTGTCCGTTCAGATTGCGAATAGGTTTGACTGAGGAAATACACACAAAATGAGGTGCACTTAAGGGATTCAAATCAGTATTAACAATTTCCAATAAATAATGTATTTCATCAATACCTTGATACGTTTTGCCATCTATTTCAACCTCGTACGACTCCATCACTTCTTGTATTGATTCTCCAACATCACAAAGACGTACATCTATACCTGCACACTGTGGAAAGAAAAAAAGTTATTTCCGCACACACACACACACAATAACTTTATCATGTCAATCGCACACACACTCACCTTGATGCCCGTGTTGGTAGCATCTCTCACAGCCTCGAGCAAGCGGTCATACTTTGGATTGAAGGTGACAGTGAAGGCACAGTCAATGATCCTGCCTAAAACACACAGTACATTTTTATTTAGTAAAAACCTTCTTAAAAGGTTAGTTCACCCAAAAATGAAAATGAGTCTGTGTTTTACTCACCCTCAAAGCATCCTAGGTGTATATGACTTTCTTCTTTCAGACGAATCCAATCGGAGTTATATAAAAAATTATCTTTGCTCTTCCAAGCGTTAGAATGGGAGTAGGCGGGTGTTTTTGTTCAACAGTCCAAAAGATGTCAAATAAAGCTTGCGCATCCATAATAAAACGTGCCTCATACGGTTCCGGGGGGTGAATAAAGGCCTCCTGTAGCGAATTGATGCGTTTTTGTAAGAAAAATATCCCAAGTTAAAACGTTATGAACTAGTGCTGTCAAACGATTAATCGCAATTAATCGCATCCAAAATAAAAGTTTTTGCATAATACATGTGTGTGTTCTGTGTATATTTATTATGTTTATATAAATACACACACATACAGTATACTTTGAAAATATTTATATTAATATAATTTATATTATAAATAAATAGATTTAAAGCTGCAGTCCGTAACTTTTTTTGTGTTCAAAATGTATATAATAAGCGAGTACACCATGAATCCATTTTCCAAACCGTGTTTTTGGCTTGTCCTGAATCACTACGGTACACCTATAATAAGTGTTTATATTCTGACTATTTAGACTGGTTCGGGTAGGGACCGCTGCGGAGTAGCCCAGTACCTGCGTGATTAGTCATCGACATATACAGAGAGAAGTAGCTCCGGCTACAATGTACTTCCGCAAGACGCACGCAGTTCTGTTTATTAACCGCTAGAGCGCCAGAAGTTACGGACTGCAGCTTTAATATATAAAAATAAATTTTTTCTGAAATATATACATGCATGTGTGCGTATTTATATACACATAATAAATATACACAGTACACATACATATATTATGGAAACACATTTTTTTAATTTTTTATGCGATTAATCGCGATTAATCGTTTGACAGCACTATTATAAACACTTTTCTTTCTCTTCCGCTGGCTATCATACGAGGAAGACGTTCCGGCAGATGACGTAGGACGTATGCGTCGCGCACGCGCCTCTGAGATATGCTAGTCTCGCGAGTTTGTTTACAGGAGCAAAGGAAGCTAAGTTTCCTTACTTTACCAAAGGAAAACCAGTCTCCTCTTGGCTTATATCGAAATCCACCTACATGTTTTTGTAACAAATCCTTGTTTTGTGCTTCTAATTTGTGACTGGTGTTTTGTTTTGTTCTCTCTCCGTCGTGCTTCCGCGTTCGTTACTGATCACTAGCGCGTGCGCTACGCATACGTCCTACGTCATCCGCCGGAACAGCTTGCACGCATGATAATCAGCGGAAGTGAGAAAAAAGTATTTATAACATTTTAAATATGGATATTTTTCGATTTGCTAGAGGAGGCCTTCACTTTTCTTTCTCTTCTGCTGGCTATCATATGAGGAAGACGTTCCGGCATACATCCTACGTAATCCGCCGGAACAGCTTGCACGCATGATAATCAGCGGAAGTGAGAAAAAAGTATTTATAACATTTTAAATATGGATATTTTTCGATTTGCATCGATTTGCTAGAGGAGGCCTTTATTCACCCCCCGGAACCGTGTGAGGCACGTTTTATTATGGATGCAAGCATTTTATTTGACTTCTTTTGGACTGTTGGAATTTTTAATATAACTCCGATTGGACTCATCCGAAAGAAGAAAGTCATATACACCTAGGAGGATGCCTTGAGGGTGAGTAAAACATGGGCTAATTTTCATTTTTGGATGAACTAACCCTTTAATCAGCGGAAGTGAGAAAAAAGTATTTATAACATTTTAAATATGGATATTTTTCGATTTGCTAGAGGAGGCCTTTATTCACCCCCCAGAACCGTGTGAGGCACGTTTTATTATGGATGCACATGTTTTATTTGACTTCTTTTGGACTGTTGAACTGTTGGAATTTTTAATATAACTCTGATTGGACTCGTCCGAAAGAAGAAAGTCATATACACCTAGGAGGATGCCTTGAGGGTGAGTAAAACATGGGCTAATTTTCATTTTTGGATGAACTAACCCTTTATTATTATCAATGGCATCTCAGCCAGACCACTTTTTTTTTTAATCAAAGTGACGCCCATATAGCCATACCACTGATGTGTGTGCCGAAATCAATCTTGCACACATCGTCGTACTGGAGGACAGTAGGGTCTCCAGCGTTTGGTGTGTAGTGAGCAGCGCAGTTATTCAGCGAGCACCCGGTAGGAAACGCCAGCCCTGCATTCAAACCGTTCTCTTTGATCAGCTTCCTACTGCAGTCCTCCAGACGCTCACTGACAAAACATGAAAATAGGATGTGTTATGAGCTGGCAATTATGACCTATGTCATTAATATCAAAAACAACTGGCAAATGTGGACAGTTGGGCTTGATTTCTTTTAAGAATAGCATAATTTCAACTGATATTTTTAGGGTGGGGAAGTTACGGTTTTGTATTTTATCAACCAATTCGTTTTTTTGTTTTTTTACACTGCAGGTTTACAGATATCAAAGTCATAATGGGCTCACCAGATGTCAATCATAGTCATTCCAGGTTTGATCCAGCTCTTTACATATTGCCGCACCTGTCGATGGGCTTCAGCCGCCTCCCGGAAGTCATTCCACATCTCCTCATTGGCTTTATTCATCACTTGCTTCTCCTCATTGCTCATTCTCCAAGCGGCGCTACGCCTGAGAGGTCCAAAAAACACTTTATGATGCAGAAAGTAAGTACATTTATTTACCTTGAGAATAACCATCATCATAAACACTGTTAGAGATGAACCTGTAAATGTTTCTTCACGCCATTATTTGGATTGGAAAAGTCTTATAAAGTCTCATACGGGGTATTTGATTAGCTCGAGTAAAATTAAATGGCTCATTTTTGTGGATGTGCTATTAAATATTGCACCAGGCTATTAAATAGAAAAAGAAATACAAAAACTAGTGTAATTAAGAGCAATATAAATGACATTAAAAAATTATTATAAAAAGTAAAAACAGAAAACATCTGTTGAGACATTAGTTTAACATTTGGCTAATCAGGTTAAAAAAATGAACTTATAGCTGATTGGTTGTACCTCCTCTGATGATTATGGTTTACGTTAAGGCAAAGTCAGGTCAAGATCATAAAGTTACAGGCCATAAATGCCTTTGAAGACTGCCACAGGACTCTAGTAAGAGACAAGATGATGTGAGGAAGTTTAAGTTTATGAGCTGTTCCTCGCACACACAGCATTGACGACTATTTTTGGAGTACTTTAGGTGCGAGGGAACATGAGTGACCTCTATGTCAGTAGTCTCAGCGATATAATATTACACAGAGCACAGGGTAATACGAGGTAGAGCAGTCTGTAGAAAGGACAAGGTGACCTGAGGGGGCGTTAAAGAGTGTATTCACATTGAGAAAAGACTAAATATCTTACCCATCCTGTGATGGAGGGTATTCACACTCCTGACCCACAGGAAACACACCACTGGGGTACAGATCACAGATGGGGATGGATGGAGGGTCCGTTTGGGTTTTGGCTAAAGGAGAGATGGTAGATATCAATGTGAAAACAACATCATCAAATGCATTTAATGGGACAGTTCAATCTCATTTCGTTGTGAATCAGCGTGAATTTTATCCGTGGATTGTGGAACTCAAAAAGAAAGTATTTTGCAGAATGTTCACGCTGCTCTTTTCCATACAGTGTTAAGAGTATGTGTCCACCAAAGCATTAGCCAACTGAAAACGCCTACCTGTGAGCGCTTGAGAGCACTTCTGCGGTGCTATAATACGGAATATCCACAAAAGTGTTCATAGTATCTGATTTCGCAGTTTATTTCTGAATATAAAAATGTCGACACAATGTAAAGTACTTCTTCTGGCCCTTGTTTTAAATGTGTTTGTTCCATTGTTGTGCTTCTTGTTGTTGTCGGGTTGCTGTTATACAAGCAGGATGTGGCGATTGGTCGGTGTGGTATTCGTCCCGCCCCTCGTCCACTGTGATTGGGCAGCTGGGATGAGCACTGCGTTTTTTATATAATATAGCAAATATTATATTAGAATATACGGTTTTGCTATATATTTTTGCGTTCTAATACTACTTGCTGTACGTGCTTGTTCCAGATCTAATATGATGAGGTATTTGTTTGCGCATATGTAGTCACATGGACTAATTTATTCATTTTATAATGCAGTGTGAACATTTTTGCTTCTGCTTTTTCTTTTGTGCATTAATGAAGCAAGACTGAAAATGAGTGTGAATACATTTCAGAGAAAATATTTTACCATATGAAGGCCTGTCAGTTACCCGTCAATGGAAAAACGAACTGATAACATCAGTTTTTCATGTTGACTTGAACGTTTTATGTTATGACTCTGATAAATATCAGCTAAATAAGGACAAAGCATTTGGTGACCTGCTCAAAATCCCCTGTTGAAATAAAGTCTGCACTGCAGGATTTTCCCAGAGGCACAGCGATTTGGCGTTTGGCCAGTCCGCTGCATTGGCAGTCAAACACGCTCCCTGCCCCCTTCAACACCAGCACACACACACACGCACCTCACCGAATCGTACCGAGGCCCCCGTACCCTCACACACTCAAAGGTGCTGCATTGACACGGTCCCGTTCACACTGATGATAACTGATTACTACTCATTTCTCTTCAGCGGTCATTATCAAACATCTCGTCCAATCAGCAAAGAGCAAGGGCATTTTGGCAACCAATGAGCTCTGCTCTGATTCTGGTCCTGCAGGGAACACAATGTACGAGGAGATGAGAAAAGAAACTTACGTCCTTTCTTCTTCTTTGTCTTCTTTTTCTTCTTTTTCCCAGAGACGTTGTCAGCTTCCTCACCGTCTGAGACACAAGTGATGTGTAATTAAAGTGAGAATATATATACTGCACACTATATATACATATATATATACATATACATATATATGTTCTGTCAAATGATTAATCGCATCCCAAATAAAAGTTTTTGTTTACATAATTTGTGTGTACTGTGTATATTTAATATGTATATATACAGTGGGTACGGAAAGTATTCAGACCCCCTTAAATTTTTCACTCTGTTATATTGCAGCCATTTGCTAAAATCATTTAAGTTAATTTTTTTTCCTCATTAATGTACACACAGCACCCCATATTGACAGAAAAACACAGAATTGTTGACATTTTTGCAGATTTATTAAAAAAGAAAAACTGAAATATCACATGGTCCTAAGTATTCAGACCCTTTGCTCAGTATTTAGTAGAAGCACCCTTTTGATCTAATACAGCCATGAGTCTTTTTCGGAAAGATGCAACAAGTTTTTCAGGGGATCCTCTACCATTCCTCCTTGCAGATCCTCTCCAGTTCTGTCAGGTTGGATGGTAAACGTTGGTGGACAGCCATTTTTAGGTCTCTCCAGAGATGCTCAATTGGGTTTAAGTCAGGGCCCTGGCTGGGCCATTCAAGAACAGTCACAGAGTTGTTGTGAAGCCACTCCTTCATTATTTTAGCTGTGTGCTTAGGGTCATTGTCTTGTTGGAAGATAAACCTTCGGCCCAGTCTGAGGTCCCGAGCACTCTGGAGAAGGTTTTCGTCCAGAATATCCCTGTACTTGGCCGCATTCAACTTTCCCTCGATTGCAACCAGTCGTCCTGTCCCTGCAGCTGAAAAACACCCCCACAGCATGATGCTGCCACCACCATGCTTCACTGTTGGGACTGTATTGGACAGGTGATGAGCAGTGCCTGGTTTTCTCCACACATACCACTTAGAATTAAGGCCAAAAAATTCTATCTTGGTCTCATCAGACCAGAGAATCTTATTCAGGTGTTTTTTAGCAAACTCCATGCAGGCTTTCATGTGTCTTGCACTGAGGAGAGGCTTCCGTCACTCTGCCATAAAGCCCCGACTGGTGGAGGGCTGCAGTGATGATTGACTTTCTACAACTTTCTCCCATCTCCCGACTGCATCTCTGGAGCTCAGCCACAGTGATCTTTGGGTTCTTCTTTACCTCTCTCACCAAGGCTCTTCTCCCCCGATAGCTCAGTTTGGCCAGACGGCCAGCTCTAAGAAGGGTTCTGGTCATCCCAAACGTCTTCCATTTAAGGAATGGAGGCCACTGTGCTCTTGGGAACCTTAAGTGCAGCAGAAATTTTTTTGTAACCTTGGCCAGATCTGTGCCTTGCCACAATTCTGTCTCTGAGCTCTTCAGGCAGTTCCTTTGACCTCATAATTCTCATTTGCTCTGACATGCACTGTGAGCAGTAAGGTCTTATATAGACAGGTGTGTGGCTTTCCAAGTCCAATCAGTATAATCAAACAAAGCTGGACTCAAATGAAGGTGTAGAACCATCACAAGGATGATCAGAAGAAATGGACAGCACATGAGTTAAATATATGAGTGTCACAGCAAAGGAATACTTAGGACCATGTGATATTTCAGTTTTTCTTTTTTAATAAATCTGCAAAAAATGTCAACAATTCTGTGTTTTTCTGTCAATATGGGGTGCTGTGTGTACATTAATGAGGAAAAAAAAATAACTTAAATGATTTTAGCAAATGGCTACAATATAACAAAGAGTGAAAAATTTAAGGGGGTCTGAATACTTTCCGTACCCACTGTATTTATTCTCCTTAATTCCTCTTTTTCTTCTTTTAAATGTTTCTTTCTAGTCTAGCGCGGAAAATAAAATGTAATAAAACTCTTTATACACACCAAAAAACTAATAAAAATGACAAAACACAACAAAATTACAAAAAAAATGGAAAATATTAAAAAATAAGACAAACTCAAAATATTAATGAAAACAAAAATAATATGTTGTCAGCTTCCTCACCGTCTGAGACACAAGTGATGTGTAATTAAAGTGAGAATATATATACTGCACACTATATATACATATATATATTAGGGCTGGACAATAATTCGATATCAATATGTATCGCGATATAATTTTTTTCAATAACGGTGATATGATTTTTAAACGCATTTCCGATATTTCGATATACATTACCAGTTTTATCACTCTAAAAGCGCCTCCTGCTGGCAGAGAATGAGTTTTCATTTTAAATAAGCCCCTGTAAATGGCGCATCATGCACGTGAGGTTATCTGACGGAGAGACGCAAAGCAGTTTAAAGCAGAGTCCTGCACGGGTGCTGTTAGGTAAACCTGCATCCAGTAGCTACACAACAGAACACACGACCCGTTATCCGACAGCAGCCAGCACCAGTTTAATTCTGTACACGACCCGCAACCTGAACCGCACCCGCATTAAATAGGCTACTGCATCAGTAATGCAAAATTATTTATTTCCTCATGTAACACAAGCAATCACACCAAAACAGGCATTTTAAGTTGGTGCTTTGAAGAGAAATAGACAAGCAGCGCAACAGAGGAACGATAAGAACGCGCATCCTTCCTGTATACAATACAAACTTTTGCCTACATCTTGTGAACAATCTGCCAGGCTGTTTTGAACAAATGTGCATAAACTACATACTTAAATCTTCATAAATGAAAAGAACATATTTAGATATGACTTTACTGTTAAGTGCCATTGTCTCCCTTAAACTCTGCAGTAGGCTATGCGGCCGTTAGTCCTTTACAGAAGCATTAAAAATAAATCTTAAAAATAAAATGATATAGGCTACAGAAAGCGAGCAACGAGAGCTCCCAAGCTGTCATTCACTTCAGCTGTTTGAACTTTGAAATAATTTTTAACAGTGAATAAGCGTTCAGCAGGGTTATCAATGATAAAAAAAAAAAATTGCTACTTGGAAGTGTTAACAGAAATAAAATAAGATATACAAATCTTATTTTATTTTCAGTTAGTTATGTACAACTTTGAAATCAAATCAGTGAATAAGTGTTTTCATTTGTTATTTCTGGAAAAAAGCTCCAACTTTAAAATTTTGAAAACATTTTGAAAACTATGAAATTCATTTTTTGTTGTGAATAAATGTTTGCATTTGTAATTTCCCTGCAGTGTTACTGTCAATAACTAAAACTAAAAAAAATTAATAAAAATTAAAAAATCATTATCAACTTGGAATATGTGTTAACAGAAATAAAATATAAAAGTCTTATTTTATTTCAGTTAGTTGCCAAGGCATTATTTCTAATTTTGTTTTAGTTTAACTTGAAGTACTCAAACTAAAACTGAAGTAAAAATGAATAAGATCTATATACACATAAAAAAAACTAATAAAAATTACAAAAACACAACAAAATTACAAAAAAATTGAATAAAAAAAATAAGACCAACTCATAATATTAATGAAAACAAAAATAATACTAAAATACTGTAGTATCTTGAATTAAACAAAAAAGGTAATGTGACATGCTGTATACATAAAAATAAAAAAAATATGTAAAAATTATATAGACTATTCACATTATTTTTTAAATATCATTATATATATATATATATATATATATATTTGTGTGTGTGTGTGTGTACTGTATTTATTACTTATAATTGTGTAAAAGTTTGTATATATTAGAAAAACATAAATGATAAACATTTTCTGCAGTAGTATGCTACATTGCTGAGACTTGACCTTGAGTTATTTTTGAAATATAAAATTATATTTTGTATTTTAGCGTAATAACACATCAACCTAGAGGTGTTATTCTACCAAAAATAAAAATAAAAAATAAAAATAAAAAAGGAGAGTGTCAAGATAATGTTGAACATCTTGATTACATTCATTTCATTCATCACAACTGGAAATGTATTGTATTGTGGGATACAGAACAAATGTAAAGGAAATGTAACTGGTAGTCTGAAAATGCACACAGTCTGTGAGAATGAGAACGCTGAAGCATCGTAGGAAAACAGCGATGTTAGATCATTTGTGCGGTAAAAGAACTAGAAGTGTGCGTTTGAAAGCTGAATACCTTCTTCTCCATCCTCTTCTCTTTCTTTCTCATCCAGGTTCTGCAGTTCGGTTTGTTTCCTCACCTCGCCATCCTCATCCTGCTCGCTGTGTCCTGCTGCAAAGTCACACACACAGGTGAACAAGCCATAAGCAAAGGAAGTGCTAAGTGTGCCAGATGCATCAGAAGCTGCAGTCTCCAACACTCTGTGTGTGTGTGTGTGTGTGAGTGTGTGTGTGTGTGTGTGTGAGTGTGTGTGTGTGTGTGAGTGTGTGTGTGTGTGTGAGTGTGTGTGTGTGTGTGAGTGTGTGTGTGTGTGTGATAAGGAAGTGAGTAACTGCTGTCAGTTTGGAAGCTGTCCACAGCTTCATCTCATATACTGGATCTATATGACAGCAAACTTGGCTCGGAACAAGCCTGAGAAACAATCTGCAGCATCATATAACCTTGGTAGGGCAACACATCAGACCTGATGATGCAAGCACACAAAGCAGAACATACTGTAAAATACAAGTGTGTGCACAGCAGAATTTGACATAACCTAAAATAAGAATGGTATTATGCAAATCAGACTGTTTCTCAAAACTCAGTAACTTGAATAGCAACATTAAGTGGCAATCATATTCTGCCAGGCTGCTTGCAAACTTGTCCATATAATTTCAAGCATGTATTTATGGCTAGCTGCCTAACTAGGTGGCATTTATGTGAGCTGCCTAACTAGACATCATTTTAGGGATGTTTTAGGTTAAAAATGTAGTGAGCGGTCTACTTGGTTTGTACTTTGGGCTCAAAACTTTGTGGACCACAAACAAAAACAGCATTTTCAGCATAATATTAGTTCATTACCATAATATAATAGTATGATTAATTACAAATATCTATATAATGCTAGAAATCCAGGAAGCTACATAAAAAAAGACATAATACATATAAAAAGAAATATTTGGAAAGTATATTTCATACATAAATATTACATATTTTATGTTAATAAATTCTAAGTATGTCTTATGTTTTATAACTTCATAAAAATATGTTTAAATTATTTTTAAAGTAATTTCCGCAGGATCTCAAAATAGCCTACACGTAACTGATATTATTCTAAATGTATAATACAAATACATATTTGTAATAAAATAGGTATAGGTATAAAGTATATACAAAAAGTATAAGTTATAAACATAACAATATTTGATATTTATTTCGTATGAAAATATATTAAAAGCATTTCTTTAGGATGTCAAAACAGACGATGTGTATTTCAGCCTATATCTAAGAGAAAATGAAAATAAATAATACAATACACATACAATATGAGTAAATATCTAATAAATAAATAATGTAAAAGTATAATATATATATATATATATATACACACACTTTTCTTTACGATCTCAAAACTGCTTGAAATGAGAGCAAAATAATACATTAAATTAATAACGAAAAAAATATGCATCAAGTATAACATGATATATTTATTGTGCATGTATTATGTAAACATGTATCATAAGTATTTGTCCCAAAACATGTCAAATAAAATAGCAAAGGCTGGAAAAATACTTATTTTGTTTTTTTTACTGTTGCTCTTACTAACGCCTGACCCACAACGTAGACAGCTATAGGACACATGCAGTCCTGTCTTGAGTTAATCTGAGACGTTAAGAGTTCACAGCTGAGTACTTAAAGCAGGGGCCTCAGCAGTCAGCACTCACTTCTATGAATGAGACACTCACCGGAAGCGGCGGACTTGCTTTTCTTCTTCTTCTTCTTCTTCTTCTTGGCGGGGTCGGCTTCTTCTCGTTCCGCCGCGTCCCCGTTTAGTATCAGCGTGTCTACGGCTGGCTGCACCGGCAGCGGCTCGGTCCCGTTCGCCTCCATGATCCCGGACGCGAGTGTAGAGCACAGACTGCAAAAAAAACAGGTGGAGGGGGACCGATACATTGTGGGAGGAGCCGAGAAAAGCTGCCGAATCAGCTGAGCGCGTGACATTACCGTAGACTCCTACTATAGCGAAGAATAACCTCATGAATGTTAACTAGTCATCTGATTAATATTCATGACCTGGCCAGCTGACTAGCGCGTTCTGCGTCTTAGCCAATCAGATAAGACCATTGCGCAAACGTCACTTTAGGTAACACATATAATTCATAAATCAAGCCGTGGGGTTTGTTTGTAAAGTAGCAAGCGGAATATTAATGATGGAAATCCATTCACACAAAGGTTTGACAGTGCGGGTTTATTTTTAAACATCCATAGCGGATATATATAGTTACGCTAAGATATTTGGTCATGATATCTAGACACTAAAATCATAATTAGCTGGTACACCATGTTCTTTAATAATAATAACAACAGATTAGCTTGTGCACGTATAAATAAACATTCTGAATGCATTGTGATTTATTAAATATTATTTAATAAAAAAAATACTACATATATTTTACATTATAAATTATACTTTAAATGATCTAAATTTATAAATGTGTTATATATTTATAATTATTATGGTTGTTATAATTATTATTTTGTCCAGTAGATGGCAGAATCGCTCGTCTAATAATGGCATGGGTTGCTTCTCTAGCAAGTGTGCTCAGAAGCCTATTTTTAGCATGAACTGCATTGATTCATCTCACAATGTCAAACACACATATATGCACATGTACTTTATTTCACAAATGAAATGCAAGATTGCCACTTTCGGACTGAGGAAAAACTTGAACCTTTAGAAAAGGCAAAACTGGTGCTGAGTGAGGACAAACACAGACGGTCTCTGCCACGGCCAAGACGATTGTCTGAGTCCTGCATATGCATGGGGGGAAATTAGTTAAGAATGTTAGACATAAAAACAAAATACACTTCACGCACAAACATGGTTATATCTACGATTTTGCTGTCTGGTTTTATCAACATTGTCATTAACATTCTAAGATTTAAGTGTAGGTGTAAAGTGCACTTACAAGGGAACATTGTTTAAGGCAAGTTAAACTGTAGCTTCGTACCTTTTCCCAGTGTTAAAAGTGGGTTTAAGTTTAAAACTAGGTTTTGTGTGAAAGGCTGAAGCAGCCTTGCGCATTATTTGAGAAAATCCTAAAATCTTTTTTTTTTCTTCTGTACTTTAATTAGGACCTGATCATTTTTTTTATGCGAAGTGTTCGACATGAGATGCTGGGGAGCTGAAAAACTGGTTTTAAAGTTTTGTAATTACTTTGAAGCAATAGCCCTGTGATGGTCACAGTGGTGAAACGCCAGCTTTGTCTGAACAGAAACGGTCAGAGTCTGATCCAGAAATGAAATCAGGGCAGCTACTTATTTCCCTAAAGAAGCAAAAACAAACTTATAAAATGGAGGCTTCACTGCAGGAGAGATGCTGTCTTTTTTAGGACAACATATCAGCTGCAATGTGGGTATTAACTTTGCCTTTTGTTATAATTAATGAGGTGAATTGCATGCGTGGGTCATACTGCATCCCAAAATTGAAATGAATATTTTCATAGAGAAAAGGAAGCCTATTTTTGGTACAATTAAGATTTTCTGTACTGCTTACTTGACATTATTTTCCGTAAATTCTCACAGAAGTGAGTACACCCCTCACATTTTTGTAAATATTGTATTATATCTTTTCATGTGGCAACACTGAAGAAATGACACTTTGCTACAATGTAAAGTAGTGAGTGTACAGCTTGTATAACAGTGTAAATTTGCTGTCCCCTCAAAATAACTCGACCCCCAGCCATTAATGTCTAAACCGCTGGCCACAAAAGTGAGTACGCCCCTAAGTGAAAGTGTCCAAATTGGGCCCAATTAGCCATTTTCTCTCCCCGGTGTCATGTGACTCATTAGTGTTACAAGGTCTCAGGTGTGAATGGGGAGCAGGTGTTAAATTTGGTGTTATCGCTCTCACTCTCTCATACTGGTCACTGGAAGTTCAACATGGCACCTCATGGCAAAGAACTCTCTGAGGATCTGAAAAAAAGAATTGTTGCTCTAATGTAAAAGTATAATATATATATATATATATATATATATATATATATATATATATATATATATATATATATATATATATATATATATATATATATATATATATATATATATATATATATATATATATATATATATATATATATATATATATATATATATATATATATATATATATATATATATATATATATATATATATATATATATATATATATATATATATATATATATATATATATATATATATATATATATATATATATATATATATATATATATATATATATATATATATATATATATATATATATATATATATATATATATATATATATATATATATATATATATATATATATATATATATATATATATATATATATATATATATATATATATATATATATATATATATATATATATATATATATATATATATATATATATATATATATATATATATATATATATATATATATATATATATATATATATATATATATATATATATATATATATATATATATATATATATATATATATATATATATATATATATATATATATATATATATATATATATATATATATATATATATATATATATATATATATATATATATATATATATATATATATATATATATATATATATATATATATATATATATATATATATATATATATATATATATATATATATATATATATATATATATATATATATATATATATATATATATATATATATATATATATATATATATATATATATATATATATATATATATATATATATATATATATATATATATATATATATATATATATATATATATATATATATATATATATATATATATATATATATATATATATATATATATATATATATATATATATATATATATATATATATATATATATATATATATATATATATATATATATATATATATATATATATATATATATATATATATATATATATATATATATATATATATATATATATATATATATATATATATATATATATATATATATATATATATATATATATATATATATATATATATACACACACACACACAGGGGTGCATATCCGTTTTTCCAGTCTGGTATTACGCTCATTACAGCAATTCAACAAAAATATTGTCATTAGTGTAATAAGAAAAAATATGGTTATAATTCCGCCCCTTAATACTAATGATGATTATTCATTTGTGGCAATGAAAATGTTTTTTGTTTTTTTTCCTACTTATTACAAAAAAAAATTCAGTATCAGAATCTTATTCTCATTACCAAAAATGAAATGGGGGGGTAAAAAAAAAAAGTGTCATTAGCATAATGGGTAAAAAAAAAAAAATATTGTAATGTGAAAAAAAAAGAAAATCTAATTTCAACGCAACTGAAAATACTTAATAAAATTGTCATTCGTGTATTAAAGGGGACAACGTCTCATTACCCTAATATGGAAAAAATTAAATAAAATCATTCACATTACCACAATTCAAAATAAATGAAATAGTTTAGTTTTGAAAATAGTTTTGCATTTTCGCAATGCATAAGTCAAAATATATTCTGAATATATATATTATATATATATAATATTTTTTAAAGCCACAAAAATGCACAGTATTTCTTGCATTGCAAAAGAAACAACTAAGAACAACTTTATTTATTTTGTATTGCGGTAAAAAAATGTGCATTAATTTGGGGGAAAAAGTGCTTACTTGTCATGAAAACAATGTAGCAATACACAAAATCTTAAGTGTACAAAAATATACTTCTTTTTCCTTCTAATTTAATTTAATTGGGGTCAAATATGACTCGGACATGTTCTTGTTGGGCTTTGTGGGATATACCCAATAAAACTGACTTTTTAAGAGCTAGTTTTGGTTATTCTGTGTAGGACCTCTGTTACAGTGAATGAAACTGGGACATGGCCAAGGACATGTAGTTTTGCACATGTGAGTTTGTGTTAATGTTAGGTTTTGGTCTGTTATTTCTGTGTACTAGCATGTGCCAGTTTGTACCTGAGGGCTGAGGCCTGTCATGAGGAGAGTGGACGTGGGATGTCACATGAAACATAAATCCCCCAAACACACACACACACACACACACACACACACACACACACAAATACACACACTTTAAAACAGAGACACGCCAAAAACAGATTCACACACACCAGCTACATCCAATGATGTCTGTGACCTGAAATCAAGCTGAATAAATACAACCAAAAGGATGAGAATAAATATCTTGCTGTTTCAGTCCTCTTCAGTTTCTCTCGTCTGCGGTGATGCCACTTCCTCCTCTGAGTCCTCATAGGTGCATTCCTGCATGTGTGTGAACGTATGCGAGCGCGCTGCTACCTGGGTGGCCAAGGCAGAGCTGAAACTGATCGCTTCTGAGCCATGCAGTTCTGTCAATCGGTCAATCACAGAGAGGGTGGGCACTCTGGGCGTGAGCGGGTGTGTCCCATCATGCCCCTCATCTATAAGCCCGTCTGATTGGAAGAGCTGTGTTTCCTCCGCAGTCTCATCTCTGGTATCTTTAGCTGCCCCAGTTACATCAGAATCTCCACAGCAAAACTCAGTAACAGAATCGCTCTCTCTTTCCGCCCCACTCAGAACCTCAGTCTGCTGTTCACATTCATTCTCCTCTCCTTGTTGGGAGACATGGTTTTCCGTGGTAGGCATGGACTCTGCTGAAATATGCGGTTCTAAAGAGTTTGTGTCCGTTTTTGATGTGTCCTTAGCAAATGGAGCCAGGGCGGCTAGAAGGACAAAAAAGACAAGTATTTTTTTAAGCTACAAGTAGTTTGAAACTTGAATGTAGATTAAAAAAAACGTTTCATTACAGACGGTCAATATGATAAAGTTTGCGACAAAACAAGCTAAAAACAAACAAAAGCTACACTAACTCAAGTTTATTCTAAATATAATTTATCAAACTAAATTTGTATGTTTTCATTTACAAACATTTTTTCGATAATTGAAATAAAGCTCAAATAAAACAACAAAACACAAACTAAACAAAAAAACAAAACCAAACAAAAAACAATACACAAACAAAACTAAAAAAACTAAACAAAACACTAGGGGTGACCCCGAATAGTCAACGATTGGATGCTTGGATAGGAGGAGCCTGATTCAACTATCAATCTCACAGTCAAATATTCGCAGAGGTGTTATGATCATGCCATTTTGGCTATATGGGGGTGCTCAAATGTCTGATTTCACATAGAACTATCGGTTTTCTCCCAATAAGTTACTATACAGCCTATTAAGATAATTCTGTAAATAAGAATCTGAAAAGCAAGAAGCTTCAAATAAATATTTTAACGTGCGTGAATAAATCCAACCACCCCTATAGATTTAAGTTTCACTTTCCATAATCCGTGACCGACAGAGGAGTGATTTTTTCATTTCAAGTCATTTCAAAACATTTCAGTTCAGTTCCTTTCAGTACATATCGTGTATTATTTATCTTGTATAAGATGCATTTGGTTGAGTTGTACGGTGGTGTAGGCCTACTTCACAGCGCGAGCAGGACAAGCAACAATGCATAATATTAAAGGGGTCATATGATGCTTTTTTAAAGATCATTATTTGGTGTAACAGAATATGTTGACATGCTTTAATGTTCAAAAAACACATTATTTTTCAAATACTGTACATTATTGTAGGTCCTCTATGCCCCGCCTCTCTCAAACGCTTCGTTTTCTACAAAGTCCCTCCTTCCGACAAGCGCAGTCTGCTCTGATTGGCCAGCTGACCCAGTGCATTGTGATTGGCCGAACACCGCAAGCACTCGTCGGAAATGTAACGCCCCTTACCATAATCACGAGCTTCATCTTTCAAAATAAATGTAAAGACAGAGCCTGAAAGGGGAACAGAGTCGCGTGACAGACACAGTGATGAAGCTGGTATGTGTTTGCAACCACGGTTAAGACTGACTCCACTGTGATGTGACCCCGTCTCTCTCTCTCTCTCTCTCTTCAGCGCAGAGAGAGAGAACACTATTGTAATAAAACGTTGTGAATTTTCAGAGTTTAGTTGCCATGTTTCTGCACGTTGTTGTGTGAAGAACGCGTCCACAAAAGGAGTTAATTCAGAGACGCGCAGACACGTTCATCATGCATTCGGGGCATTTTGTGCAGATATAAATGTTCGTCCAATCAAAACGCTCGGTCCGGACTTTTACTGTCATATGCACAACGTTATAATGAGAGCACTATTGTAAAAAATTTTGTGTATTCTTAGGGTTTTGCTTACGTTTATTGTTAACTATCTTTAAATCAAAAGATAAAACATTATTTACCTCCTTTGTGTGTGTTAACGTAATTATGACTGTCGAATGTCTGAATTTACTCTTGGCAATGTATTTTGCACCACGCCTCCAAAACATATGATTCGACTATCAGTTTCGAGATTTTCAAGATTCGAAAATTCCCATTCGACTATGAAAATCCTTAGTCGGAGACAGCCCTACAAAGCACAAAACAAAACCAAACAAAAAGCAAAACAATACAAAACAAAAAATACAAAACCAAACAAAAAGCAAAACAATACAAAACACAAAACAAAACAAAACATGAATGCTGAAAAACAAAAATAAAAACCTACAAATTTAAAATGCTGCCTGAAAAAAAGTTTGGTTGAAGTACTAAAACTGAATCAAAAATAACCAACAAAACTAGACTTTGAAACCAGCTAAGCAAATCAGTTCAGACAATTCATTTCAATAAACAAACAAACAAACAAACAAAAAAGCTAATAAAAATGACAAAAGCACATACAATTACTAAACCATATTATAAAATCTCATTCAAAATAACTAACACTATAATAGTATATAAAGAATGCTAAAATAACACTGTTGAAAAAATTAAGTACAGTAGTATACATTTTTCTCATAACAAAAAAGTTGGTAAAAACCGTTTGTTTATTTGTTTGTTGTTTTACCAGTTTATTCAAATGAACTGTCTGGACTGATTCGCTTGGTTAGCATTTGTCTAGTTAGCATTATTGTCCAAGACAAATATACACGTCTTAAATATTTACATTTAGTCATTTAGCAGACGCTTTTATCCAAAGCAACTTACAAAATACTAAATATTTAATTATATCATAGTTATTTTTTTATTCCCCACTGAAATGGATGGTTGTAAGAACTAAAACAGAATCAGCCGACTCACTTAAACTAAAAAAAAAAAAGTACTTCTGGGAAAGAAAAATACTAAAATATGATGTGTTTGTGCGTGTAGTACCCTGATCACTGAACAGCAGAAGCTTGCGCTTGTCTCTCTCTCCATCTGATGTTCGGATTCCCAGGACGGACTTTAGCTCGAGTAAAACACGTCTGGACTCCTCACGTTCACGACGTTGGTGCTCCTGCTCCCATGGCGACAGCATGTCCGTGACCCCTCTCCACTCCGTCTCAGAGTCCGAGTCCGAGACATATGCCTCCAGCTCCTGGCCAAGAAAAGCATCTTTTTTTTAATCCCAGCTAAGCTAGTAATCACAAAATTGTTAATCGTTTATGAATCTCTCTGCATTTTTGCTAATAACAACACTTCAATCTTAGCAGTTTGTTTTGCTTTGTTCCACAATTTACATCTGTGAAATCCTTTGAGAGATATAAAGGGGGAAAAAATGATGACGACAACAATAACGGGCACTTCACTTACAAACAATAAACAAGTGAACTAGATTTGGAGTTTGGACAAGTTGTGCTTGTCTGTTGTGGCGAAATTTAATACTTGCTTGGGTCAATGATAAACAATAATTTAATTATAAATAATTAAGTAAATCTAGTTTAAAATGCATGTGAAGTAAAAATACATAGATGTTCAATTCTCCTTACCTTTATGCTAGTGTATGTTTCCTAATTAATATTCCTAACATTTTTAAACAAATACTTTAAGGTCGTTTTTTCAGGTAGCTTTTAATTACGTTTTTTAAAGAACTTCATTCATATGCTTTTTGGGAGTCGCATCGCCTGAACTAATGTTGCCTTATAAAAAGGTCAAATTATTTCATATTTTAAGGCGCTTACTGACTTTGACACAGTTATGAGGGTCTGTAGTGGTTATTTGATATAATTTCCTTCTTTTCCTTAATGTTTTCTGCATGTTGGTTGTACCACGACTTTGATTTGGCAGACAATTTTCAAATCTCAATAAGCAATATTATTAATATGTTCAAATTATTTATATAAAAAATAAAATATGCCACATTACTTAATTAAAATGCTTAAATTCATTACTCTTTTTTTTTCCCCATTACTATATCAGGACAGCTGTGCCAATAAAGTGCATGTATGTGTGTATATATATATATATATATATATATATATACACACATATATATATATATACACACATATATATATATACACACACACACACATATACACACACACACACACACACACACACACACACACACACACACACACACACACACACATATATATATATATATATAACATTTCATGCAGAATTTTTACAAATTCATAGATTTATAGATAAAATGAACATGTCATCGACCCATATCAACTGCCCATCAAAATGAGCAGTAATAATGAATAATACAGATGCTAATATTTCTCTCATGCTTAAAAGTACACACACACACACACACAGCACCTGTTCCTCTGGGACGGGGTCTCTGTCCTGTATGTGTGTAAAGGGGGCAGGAGGAGGGGGATCTGGGGCAGCTGTTTCCTCTGGCTGATCTGAACTCTCTGTGGAACACACACAAATACACCGTATCCTGTTAATGTGTGTCTCCTTTCAGCAAATGACACAGGACAAATTCAGTTTCTATGTGAATCAAACGTCGCTTGTTGTGGTATTGTTATTCATTGTGATATTATAGCCAAAAACTGACATATATTATAAAAAGACCTTCAAAAACAAAGTGTGATACATGTGAATTTAGGCATCACAATATTATAATTTACAGTATAAAATACTGAACATTTTGAAATCTGCTATAGAAATATTAACAGAGGAGAGAACAATGATGTCAGTTAGTCCCTTTAAAAAAATTGTACAGGGTCAAAACATTACCAATATTGGCACATATGGATAAACATACATGAATGAATGAATTCCTTTTTTTTTTTTTTTTTTTTTAAATCTGCTGCAAACTGTGATGCCTGCAGAAATGCATTACTGGGACTTGTGCCAAGTAATTAAGTTAAAAATAGTTGCTGTTGCTTGGCACCCACATAAGTACATCAAACAACTGCATAGCTGAACTTTGACCTTCCTCCATTAAAAGCACCAGCCCGAGGAGGGTCATCATATGACGCTGGGCATCACTTCACCTACTTGTGGATTATGGCCTGATTCTGTAAAGGACGTCACCCACCCCATCCCTCTCTCTCTGTCCTTTATTACCCTCCTACTTCCCTAAAGCTCCCTAAAATAACCGAAGGGAGGGAAATCAATCGAATAAGGAACTCTAAAAATATCCCAAGACACACTCTGTTACCACAGAAGGACGTGGTGAGGACGTCATTTCGAGAGCTCATAGACATTTATATGGTATATGGCAAAACTCTCTGCAATAACTGATTTTGATTGGTCAACTGGTTTCTGCAGTGAAAAGTTTTTCTATAATAACTGCATTATTACCAGCTGACTGTAAAAAAAATCTCTTATAATATATATTTTTTATTGTCTTACTTTTTTTTTTTTTACCCATTTATGGTACCAGGATTTGTGACACTGTCAAGAATATTTAAATTATAATAAAAGAGTCAGCTTTTTATAAAACTATTCAATTAAATAAACTACGCTGCTAATAATTAATATTAGGACCCTTATGCTAATCAAGGCTGCATTTATTTGATCAAAAATACATTAAAACAGTAATATTATGAAATATTATCACAACTACAACAAAAAATATATATGTAATTTTTTCCTGTGATGCAAATCTGAATTTTCAGCATCATTAACTCCAGTCTTCAGTGTCACATGATCCTTCAGAAATCATTCCAATATGCTGATTTGCTGCTAAACTATTAATAACAGTTCTTATTATTATCAATTTTGAAAACAGTTAATAAAACTGCTTAATATTTTGGTGGAAACTGTGATACATTTTTTTCCAGGGTTCCTTGATGAATAGATACTCAAAAGAACAGCATTCATTTGAAATAGAAATCTTTTGTAACCTTAAAAATGTCTTAGGCCCCGATCACACAGAACGTATTTTTTGTCATGAGAGGTACCTTTTTTGAATTGATTTCGGTTGGCAGTGGGCGTTCTGCACGCGGTTTATGCGCCTTGCATTTTTGCAGGAGCGCTCCGAGTGCCTTAAAGGGTTAGTTCACCGAAAAATGAAAATTAACCCATAAATTACTCACCCTCAAGTCATCCTCGGTGTATATGACTTTCTTCTTTCAGACGAATCCAGTCGGAGTTATATTAAAAATTGTCTTTGATCTTTCAGGCTGTTTAATGCCACTCAGCGGGTGTTGCATGAATCAGTCCAAAAGAAGTTAAATAAAAAGTGCCCCTACGGGGGGTGAACAAAGGCCTCCTGTAGCGAATTGATGCATTTTTGTAAGAAAAATATCCATATTAAAAACGTAATAATCCCTTTAATGTAGCTTGTGTCAACAGTTGTACACAGAAGCAGCTCCGGGCGGATGACGTATGAGGTCGGCTTTGCGCATGCGCCGCTCAGAAGTGACGCACGCGGTAACGCAGGGGAGAGATCAAAACAAAACGCCGGTCACTAATTAGAAGTACAAAATGAGGATTTGTAAAGAGAATTTCGGAGGATTTCGATATAAGCCAAGAGGAGACTGGTTTTCCTTTGCTAAAGTAAGGAAACTTTGCTTCCTTTGCTCCTGTAAACAAACGTTGGTTTTCACGAGACTCACCGGCGCATGCGCAACGCTGATCTCATACGTCATGCTCCCGGAACTGCTTCTGTGTACAACTGTTGGCGCAAGCTACATTAAAGTGATTATTACATTTTGAATATGGATATTTTTCTTACAAAAATGCATCGATTCGCTACAGAAGGCCTTTGTTCATTCACCTCCCGGAGCCGTGTCAGACTGTTTTTTATGGATGGGCGATTTTTATTTAACTTCTTTTGGACTGATGCATGCAACACTCGCTGAGTGGCATTAAACAGCTTGAAAAATCAAAGACAATTTTTTATATAACTCCGACTGGATTCGTCTAAAAAGAAGAAAGTCATATACACCTAGGATGACTTGAGGGTGAGTAATTTACGGGCTAATTTTCATTTTTGGGTGAACTAACCCTTTTAGTAAAAAAAAAAAAAAAGCAACTCTGAGCGGAAAAGCGCCTGACATCATTCGCGTTTGTTTTCCATTGTCCAATCGAATGAACGGAGAGGCGGGCATTCCATTGTGGTGACAAAAGTTTACCGTTGCCGAAAGGCCTGAAACTGCGATGATGGAGAAACTTTTGGTGTCTGATGCGGGTTACCCGGAGATGTATTTTTTAAGGTTTCTGCTAATATGAGAGTTTACTTAACAGCAAAACCAAAGACTTTAGAGCGCTCGCGCTATAATCCTTTGATTAGACTGACAGGACAGCTGATTTGGTGGTTGCCTAGCAACATAAAAAAACAGCACACTGCTCTTTTTTTTAAAAGTCACCCAAAAAAAAAAAAAAAGTAGTGCGGTGCGCCTCGCATTTCCAGACCTAAAAACCGTATTCGGTGTGATCGGGGTCTGTCGGTAGGTCAGTCGGTAACTGTCACTTTTGATCAATATAATGGGTCCTTGCTTAATAAAATTATTAAAGGAATAGTTCACCAAAAAATGTAGAACACGAAAGAAGATATTTTGAAGAACCAAACAGTTGTTGGTCCCCATTGACTTCCATAGCAGGGAAAGAAATACTATTGAAGTCAATGGGGACCATCAACTGTTCAATTACCAGCATTCTGCAAAATATATTCTTTTATGTTCAACATAAGAAAGAAACTCATACAAGTTTGGAACGACATGATGGTGAGTATATAACGACAGAATTTTCATTTTTGGGTGAGCTATCTTTTGATTTTATTATTAGTATAAATTGTTTCTCAAAAAAAGCATAAAGATTTGGAATGTAATTTCAGTGAGTACATAATGATAATTACATTTTTATTTTTGGGTGAACTACTTCTGTAAGGGGGACGTTTGAAGAGGCCTGATTGTACCCCAGTAATCATGAATTTTAAGTCATTTAATATGTCTCAAATTTAATTTAGGTGCCATTTCTTAGGACTATACTAAATTATAATGAAACTAACTTAAAAAAAAACTCTAAAACACAATTAAAAACAGATTAGCACATGAATCAAACAAAAATTCCATTCAAATTCCAAAGCAGTGTGCAGTGATTGGTTGAGAGGATGACCTCTGACCTGGGCAGCTGGAGACTCGGCGTAGCATGCGGTCGACCTGCGCGAGTGTGTCGTCCCAGCAGCAGGTGCTGGCCTGCATGTGAGGCTGCAGCAGCTGCAGACGCTCTTTCAGATCCTGATATCCCGCACACGTCATCTCCTCCGTCTCCTTAGCAACCATTAACTTTTCCAGATCATCCTCAAGAATTATGACCCTATGAGAAGACAAAAAAAAAAAATTAGGTGCATCAGCTTATTCTATAACCAGGGTGTTATACTGGCTATATTAGAGTAAATCAATCTTATTTAGTGAACTTTAAATTTTTTTTTTTTTTTTTTTAGAAATGTATTAATTTCAGCAATTTTTGGTCATTTAAAGGGTTAGTTCACCCCAAAATGGAAATGCTGTCTTAATTATTTAATTAATTTAACTTAATTACTCACCCTCATGTCGTTCCAAACCCGCAAGACCTTCGTTCATCTTCGGAACACAAATTAAAATATTTTTGATGAAATCTGAGAGCTTTCTGATCCTCCCATAGACAGCAATGCAACTGTAATGTTCCCAGACCCAGAAATGTAGCAAGGATATATCGGTAAATCAGTTCATGTGACGTCAGTGGCTCAACTTCAATTTTGCGATGCAACGAGAATACTTTTTGTGCGCAAAGAAAAAATTATTTATTCAACAATTCTTCCCCCCCGAGTTACGTCTTCCACCATTTTGGAGAGTACCCAAGAATGTAATCAATGTAATGTTTACGTTAGGGGGGGGGAAGCGCGCACATGAACTTAATCAGCGTTTTTTACACTTAGGGGAAAGCATTCGTCTGCGATACTCTCCAAAATGGCGGAAGACGGTAACTCGGGAAGAACAATAAAAAAATTAAATGGTCATTATTTTTGTTTTCTTTGCGCACAAAAAATATTTTCATACCTTCATAAAATTAAAGTTGAGCCACTGATGTCACATGGACTGTTTTAACGATGTCTTTACTACATTTCTGGACCTGGGAACATTTCAGTTGCATTGCTGTCTATGGGAGGATCAGAAAGCTCTCGGATTTCATCAAAATTATCTTAATTTGTGTTCCAAAGATGAACGAAGATCTTACGGGTTTGGAACGACATGAGAGTGAGTAATTTATGACAGAATTTTCATTATGCAACGAGAATACTTTTTGTGCGCAAAGAAAAAATTATTTATTCAACAATTCTTCCCCCCCGAGTTACGTCTTCCACCATTTTGGAGAGTACCCAAGAATGTAATCAATGTAATGTTTACGTTAGGGGGGGGGGAAGCGCGCACATGAACTTAATCAGCGTTTTTTACACTTAGGGGAAAGCATGCGTCTGCGATACTCTCCAAAATGGCGGAAGACGGTAACTCGGGAAGAACAATAAAAAAATTAAATGGTCATTATTTTTGTTTTCTTTGCGCACAAAAAATATTTTCATACCTTCATAAAATTCAAGTTGAGCCACTGATGTCACATGGACTGTTTTAACGATGTCTTTACTACATTTCTGGACCTGGGAACATTTCAGTTGCATTGCTGTCTATGGGAGGATCAGAACGCTCTCAGATTTCATCAAAATATCTTAATTTGTGTTCCAAAGATGAACGAAGATCTTACGGGTTTGGAACGACATGAGAGTGAGTAATTTATGACAGAATTTTCATTTTTGGGTGAACTAACCCTTTAAAACAACACAAAGCTGTAAAAAATATGAAATGACAATAAACCCTAAGTGGTACATACTCGTTTAAGAGTGTTTTCAGGTGAAGTTGTAAACTGCGGACAGACGTGTGCAGAGAATTGAGCTCTCTACACTTCTGCTGAGCGCGTCCATTTCTTTCTGAGGGCAGCGACTGGTGCTGCGTTTCAAAGTAGCGATGGAAATCAAAGCTGCGTTGAAGATTTCCGAGGCAAGCGGCCAGTGTGCGATGGAGAGAGTCAGTAATCAACGGGACGCTGCTGTATGTGAGGGGGCTGGACCTGGAGTCAAGCTCCTCCCTCCCTGGAGACAATAACAGAGCTAACCGCCGGAAAAACTCGGAGCTCTGCCCGACCCACAACTGGAACAACATCTGCAAAGCAATCAAAGGTTATTGAAGAGAATGATGTGCATTTATGTCAACAATAGGGCTGGGCAATAGCCTATATTGAATATTTACAGTACAGTCGCAATGGTTATGAATGTTGTAATATTAATATGTCTTTTATTTGACCATTAGGTGTGGAATAGTGCCTCTTTCCTTGTCTTCTTAACTCAAAAATAGCAGGTAAGACAATAACATACAACAACATATTTCTCTGAAATATATACATGCATGTGTTTGTATTTATATATACATAATAAATATGCACAGTATACATTACACACATATTATGTAAAGAAAAACTTATTTTGGATGCGATTAATCGTTTGACAGCACTATATATATATAGTAAAAAAAAATCAGTATCTTTACAAGATAAATATTGCGTAACCGATAAAACCAATTTTTTTATGTTTTATGAAAAATATAAGTAAATATTGTTTTTTATTGTTATAATGCAAACAAACGAGCAATTCAACGAGTGCCTTGGGTAGAATAAAAATGACTTTTTCACAAAAAAAATCTGATAAATATCATGATCTGATATATATCAGGAGCTTCTGTCATGAAAACAAATTCCTCGTATGTGTAAACATACCTGGCAATAAAACTCATTCTGATTCTGATCATCATCATATTCAGTATCTTTACAAGATAAATATTGCGTAACCGATAAAACCAATTTTTTTATGTTTTATGAAAAATATAAAAAAATATTAAGTAAATATTGTTTTTTATTGTTATAATGCAAACAAACGAGCAATTCAACGAGTGCCTTGGGTAGAATAAAAATGACTTTTTCACAAAAAAAATCAGATAAATATCATGATCTGATATATATCAGGAGCTTCTGTCATGAAAACAAATTCCTCGTATGTGTAAACATACCTGGCAATAAAACTCATTCTGATTCTGATCATCATCATACCTGAATACTGTCAAAACACTATCAAATATCAAGAACATTAAAAATTTCAAGAAATTCAGCTACAGCGCTCGGCACTATTCCAACAGTGTAAGTTTCTGTACCTTGAGTGCAGGCAGACTGTAATCATTGGTCAGTTCTTGTGCCTGATCGTCAGAAAGATGCTCCACCCCCAGACCGAGACCAAGCTCTCTGATTGGCACGGTGGACACGTAGTTGGTGACATTGTCAATCTCCGAGTTCAGCGGAAATGTAAAACACAGTCAAGGACTCGACCAAGTGAATTAAATGTTCCGAAATCATATTGTAAAAGATGTTGATTACAAATGATGCTGTTGGATCAGGATATGACTTGAGCATGACGCATGTGGCGAGGCGAGAGGCTCGGAATGCGCAGCGAAGACTCTGATAGGCCACCTTCCGTAGACCAATCAGCTGCTGGCTGCGAAGATGCCCCGCCCTGTTAAAGGGACAGGCGCCACTCACCCTGTCGAGTAAACTTGACAAGTGAAATGTGATCCAACTGTGCAGACGTCCGAGAACCATCAGGGCAGACACACATCACAAACAACACATATAATACTACAAGACTAAAGCCCCGTTCACACCAAGAACGATATCGTCTGTTTATTCTAAGCACATGCTCATCTGCCGCTTTAAAATCTCCAGCTCAGAAGGATGGATTCTGATTGGGTGCCAATGTTTTTATTGTTCATCAGATGGAAATAATCATTCTGGAAGTGATTCCAACGATATCGTTTCTCTGTGCCTTTATCGTTATTGTTGTGGTATGGACTCTGCTATTCTTTAATATTGAGAACGATTTTTAGAACTATATCTTTATCGTTATCGTCCTTGGTGTGAACGGGCCTTAACACTATGTAACAACGTAACACACAGAACACAAAAATAACAAATAATGACAAACTAATACACTAGTTTGGGTCAGTAAGATTTTTTTTAAATGTATTTTGAAAGAATAATATCGTGAAATGTTATCAATTTAAAATAAAAAAAAATTCTATTTGAATATATATTTAAAATGTAATGTATTCCTGTGATTGGAGAAGCTAAAGTTTCAGCTTTTCGTCTTCAGTGTCACATGATCCTTCAGAAATCATTCCAATATGCTGCTCAAGAAACATTTCTAATTGTTATCGATGTTGAAAACACTTGTGCTGCTCATGCTACTCTATTTCAAAAAAATTAGAACGGCATTGATTTGAAATAGATTTTTTTTGTAACAGTGTAGAAATCTTTACTCTTTTTATCAATTTAATGCATGCTTGCTAGACAAAATACTGAATTTCTTTAAAGTAATAAATCACGAACGGCAATATTACTAATAATAATTACACTTATTATATCTAGTGAAAGACAAATTACACTCAACATGCACACCACAGAGCACACAAACCTCATACACAACTCAATTATTAAATCTAAACACATACACATAACAGGTATTCATTTATATAAAGGACATGAGCCCATGGCAGTAACTTGCATGCATTATACTTATTTTTTTTTAATTGTACTTATATTTGTAAAAAAAAAAAAAGTATGCTAAATGTTTATATAGCATGCCAAGATAGTAGTCCTGCAGTTTAACAGCTCAAAATGACTAATTCTAAATACTGAAAATTTGAAGCGATTCAAGCTCATATTTCCACTCAAAATGAGGAACATTCAAAATTGTGAGTCGTGCAAAACTGAGCCGCTTCTCCAAATCACCAGAACACATTTGGGGGGAAAAAGGCACCAATTAAGTCAAATAATCCACATATCATTCCAAACAGGAATACAGTTAAAAAAATCCTAAAATTTAAAGATGAGGTGTGTAATATTTTGTTAAAATGTTAAAATACTTTCTCCTATCCCAGATTCATGTCCAGACTCTAAAGTTGACTATAAATATGCCATTCATAAGGTGACGTTAACCAGCATTTTGCTCAGCTGGTTTGAGCGACTATAAACAGGAGTGTTTAGGAAACCTGTCTGAAAAGAGTTACTCAGTTGCACAGAAAGAACACACTTCAGCTTTAAACAAACTGTCTAGTACAAAACAGACGCAGAAATAATCACTGATTTTCATGCAGAAAACAAAATCTCACAAAAATGAAAAACACTGCAACTAGTCAAATTTCATAAATAATGCTTATTTCCGCCATGAAATAAAAATATTAAAAAAGGTAATTACAACTCTTGACGACATCTCAAAACTGCGAAAATGGCAAAATCTCACAATTTGGACTTTTTTCCTCATAGTTCCAAGTTTATATGTTGTAAACTCGTAAATTGAGAGTTTATATCTCGCAATTTTAATTTTTTCTCAGAATTGGGTGTTCACATCTCACAATTTCGACATTTTTCCCAGAATGTAAGTGTCTCACAACTAGTTTTACATTGAGTTTACATGTAGAATACCGTTCACATGTATAAAAATGGGAGGGGGGGGGGGCAGTCAAACGCTGAAAAAAAAAATGTAAGATCAGAATTCAGAGGAAAAAAAATGAAAATTGTGAGACGTAAACTCAGAAATCTGAGGAAGAAAAGTCAGAATTTTGGGATGTTAACTAGCAATTACAAGTTTATTACTGACAACTGTCAGAAATAATCTTGAAATTCTAAGAAAAAAAATAATTTTAAGATATAAACTGACAGTTGTGAGAAAAAAAGGTCAGAATGAGATATAAAGTTGCAATTACCTTTTCTTTATTTTATATTTTCTAATTCTGTGTCGGAAATAAGCTACCATACAAAACACCACATAAACAAACATAAAATAAGATGCAGAGGTGGACAAAGTACACAATTCCATTACTTGAGTTAAAGTACAGACACTGCTGGTCAAATATGACCCCTTAGCAAAAGTTGTAAAGACAGATTTTTACTCAAGTAAAAGTACAGAATTACTTGCTTTTAAAAGTATCAAAAGTAAATTTCCTTTTTTATATCAATGCAGTTTAATTATTGTTGTATGCAATACTTGCAATACCTTATACCTCTGAAGAAACTTAAAATACATTATGCCTACTGAATACACTGACTAGCTTGTAGTATCTTTGGAATAAAGAGCTTTTAGAGCGTTAAAAACCTATAGAAATTAAACAAGTGAGTTAACCAAAAGTGTAGCCATTCATCCACATTAAACCGAGCAGACAGTGAAACTGCTGTAAATACAGACTGATAAGAAAAAAAAACATCAAACCTGCTTTAAAACCCAGCAACACAACTGTAGCTGTATAACTTTAAAACAGCAACACTGCTTATCAAAAAAGCAAAACAGCAACAGATTTATTTGACATCAAAACAAACATTTCAAAAATGCCCTCTAATCGCTCTCGCGGTACTTTAATGTCATACACAGAACGGTCTGTGCTGCGCTGCTTCAAGTCAAACACCTACTGGGTTTTGTTAGAAGACGCAAAACAGTTCTTTTGTGGCTTTATAGGTAATATTTTCGTTTACACAATTTTGCAAAATTAGACAATATTGTGTCTAATATACATCAGCACTGGCGCCCCCCAGGGTTGCGTCCTCTCCCCACTGCTCTTCTCTCTCTACACGAATGACTGCACCTCTAAAGACCCCTCTGTCAAGCTCCTGAAGTTCGCAGACGACACTACAGTCATCTGCCTCATCAAGGAAGAAGACGAGTCTGCTTACAGACAGGAGGTTAAAGAGCTGGCTGTCTGGTGCAGTCTTAACAACTTTCCCGCAGGCTATATTCAGCCAGAACAATTAATCTTTCATAATTATACATCGTCCATCACAACTAACATAGTTATATTTATATTAAACTGCACACTTTGCAAATAACATATCTATCTGCACACTAATAAACATGTGTACATTTATCTAAACAATTACATTTTTTCCCCTATACTTCTATTTCTGTATATAGCACATTATTTAAATTTTTTTTTTAATTATATTGGTGTTATATTACATCCCTACTGTGTTTTTCCTATGTATGTCTGTACTATGTTCGTACTTTCTTCTGCACTGGAAGCTCCTGTCGTCAAGTCAAATTCCTTGTGTGTGTAAACATACTTGGTAATAAAGCTCTTCTGATTCGGATTCTGATTAACTTCTTATTGAATTGTTGTAAATAAATATCACGGTTACACTTCATTTGAAGGTGTCCTTGTTACAGTGTAATTATACATTTAAGTACTGAGTAATAATTAACTACTTGCACTTACTACATGGTTAGGATTAGGGTTACTTAAATTATGCATCATTTATTGTTATTATAATAGTAAGTACATGTAACATGTGTAACAAGGACACCTTCAAATAAAGTGTTACCAATATCACATTTGCCAGTGTTCAAAAAATGCGGGGAAATCACTTCATGTAGCCCTACAAGAGAAATTAATAGAAACGACTTTCTACTTCGAGGACCTTGATAGAAATGTAGTGGAGTGAGAAGTATTAAATTTGTCTTTAAAATGTAGTGAAGTTAAAGTCATACGTTTTCAGAAAAAAACAATACTCAAGTTAATGTACTTCATTACTGTCCACCTCTGATAAGATGCGACTAACTAAAGTGGTTGGGGTCTGTGTGTGTGTTTATGTGGTTCATGAGGACACAAATTTGTATAATGACATGGGTATGACAGAGGTAAAACAAGGTGAATATAGTTTATGAGGACACTACCCATGTCCCTGTAATTTAAAAGTCTTTAAAAACTAAATGGTGTTTTTTGAAATTCTAAAAATGCACAAAGTTTCCTGTGAGGGGTAGGTTTAAGTGTAGGGCGATAGAAAATACCTTTTGTACAGTATAAAAACCATTACGCCTATGGAGAGTCCCCATAAACCATAAATACCAACACGTGTGTGTGTGTGTGATGACACTTACAGGGTGAAACCTCGTGAGATGACTTCTGTCTCCTGTATGAGTCGCAGTGACTTGCGAGAGAGACTGGTCAGCGCTCGGCTGTTTTTCACCAAACCCTCCAGCTGGACGGCCAGAGACTGAACGCGCCGCTGTAGAACGGCCTTACGCCACAGAGACAGACCACGACACGCACACGTAACACACACCAGGACAACGCACAGCCACAGAGCCTGCTCGTGGTCAGGGTACGAAAAACACACGCCGAGCAAGACAGCTAGCAGCCCGACCAAAACCGACACATCCCTGTAACACAGAAACACATCAGTAACAGATCAAGCTGATAGTGTTAAAGGGTTAGTTCACCCCAAAATGAACATTCTGTCATTAATTACTCACCCTCATGTCGTTCCAAACCCGCAAGACCTTCATCTTCAGAACACAAATGAAGATATTTTTGATGAAATCTGAGAGCTCTCTGACCCTGCATAGACAGCAACACAACTGAAATGATCCCAGGTCCAGAAACGTAGTAAGGATATATAATAGTCCATGTGACATCAGTGGCTCAACCGCAATTTTACGAAGCTACGAGAATACTTTTTGTGCGCAAAGAAAACAAAAATAACAACTTTATTCAACAAGTCTTTTTATTAAATTTATGCATTTAGCAGACGTGTTTATCCAAAGCGACTTACAGTGCATTCAAGCTATACATTTTTTACCAGTATGTAACAATGTCCTCCTTGCTACGTTTCTAGACCTGGGAACATTTCAGTTGTGTTGCTGTCTATGGAGGATCAGAAAGCTCTCATATTCCATCAAAAATATCTTAATTTGTGTTCCGAAGATGAACGAAGGTCTTGCGGGTTTGGAACGACATGAGAGTGAGTAATTAATGACAGAATTTTCATTTTTGGGTGAACTATCCCTTAAAGGTGTTTTTGTTGGTATTGACGTAGGTGTGTACCGTATAGAGGGTGGCGAGAGGTAGCGTGGCGCTGGAGAAAACAAAAATAACAACTTTATTCAACAAGTCTTTTTATTAAATTTATGCATTTAGCAGACGTGTTTATCCAAAGCGACTTACAGTGCATTCAAGCTATACATTTTTTACCAGTATGTATGTTCCCTGGGAATTGAACCCACGACCTTTTGCGCTGCTAACGCAATGCTCTACCACTGAGCCACAGGAACATTTATTATGAATTTATTATGCACTGCATGTTTCAGAGTGAAGTGCTGCAGTGTGTTCATTTACACATGAGCAGCTCATGATCTGGTGTTTTTAGGATCTCAGAGCAATTAGTTTCACAGTAAATGCTCCACATAAACTCCATCTCTGCGACTATTGTGACTTTGGGTCACTTATAACATGCATTTGGGAACACAACATGCACCAACCATTCCAGATTTGTAATGAGATGGGTTTATAAACTTTGTGCCAACAAAGGAGCTTTAAGAGCTTCCTCCTGTTTTCTGCCAAAAGGTTTAATGTTTGACAATTAAGAAATTAAGACTATTCATTTCTATAATATTGGTATTGTTATTTTATAGCTGTACTGTAAAAAAGAAAAGAAAAGAAGCATTACATACTTGATATTTTTAAGTATAATTTTACAATTATACTCAAAAATCTATTTTTTTATTGTTTTTGTAAAATATTTTATTTTATTGTTTGATATGTTATTAATTTTATGAAATCAATGTTTTGAATTTTTACAGAATATTCTATATATTATACTCTTTATTTAACTGTACAATAGTATTACAATAGTAATATATTTCTTATTTTGTTTGATGTTTAATATTAGTAATAATGATAATAATAGTAATAATAATCATTATTATAATTTTTGTGTAGTCATTGGTATATAATCACAATATGATATATTATATGATATAGTAGTATTTTTATGAAATACAATTTTTTTTAAACACATCAGTAACAGATCAAGCTGATAGTGTTAAAGGGTTAGTTCACCCCAAAATGAACATTCTGTCATTAATTACTCACCCTCATGTCGTTCCAAACCCGCAAGACCTTCATCTTCAGAACACAAATGAAGATATTTTTGATGAAATCTGAGAGCTCTCTGACCCTGCATAGACAGCAACACAACTGAAATGATCCCAGGTCCAGAAACGTAGTAAGGATATATAATAGTCCATGTGACATCAGTGGCTCAACCGCAATTTTACGAAGCTACGAGAATACTTTTTGTGCGCAAAGAAAACAAAAATAACAACTTTATTCAACAAGTCTTTTTATTAAATTTATGCATTTAGCAGACGTGTTTATCCAAAGCGACTTACAGTGCATTCAAGCTATACATTTTTTACCAGTATGTAACAATGTCCTCCTTGCTACGTTTCTAGACCTGGGAACATTTCAGTTGTGTTGCTGTCTATGGAGGATCAGAAAGCTCTCATATTCCATCAAAAATATCTTAATTTGTGTTCCGAAGATGAACGAAGGTCTTGCGGGTTTGGAACGACATGAGAGTGAGTAATTAATGACAGAATTTTCATTTTTGGGTGAACTATCCCTTAAAGGTGTTTTTGTTGGTATTGACGTAGGTGTGTACCGTATAGAGGGTGGCGAGAGGTAGCGTGGCGCTGGCACAGAAATGCTGGCACTGGGGCAGACGGTATCAGTGGAGCCCAGAGAGAGCACACTCGGATCCAAGAGCTCGATCAGCTCAACATCCTCCTGCAACAGCACATCCTGAGATAACAGACAGCGCAGGGAATACTGGCGGAAGGCAGCGTCCTGTGGGAAAACAAACACAGTTGTATACAATCTTTCTGCGGCAGCAAATCAATCTAATTATCGGATCATTCCACTGCCTTGCAGCAATAATGGGTTTCTGTACTGTAATGCATGACAAGCTCTTGGTCTCTGGATCTTAGTTTTATCAAATTGATTTTGAAAAAGTGATTAGTATCGGTTAGATCAGGGCTGTCCAAACTCGGTCCTGGAGGGCCGGTGTCCTACAGAGTTTGGCTTCAACCCTAATTAAACACACCTGAACCAGCTAATCAAGCTCTTACTAAGCATAGAAACTTCCAGTCAGGTGTGTTGAGGCAAGTTGGAGCTAAACTCTGCAGGACACCGGCCCTCCAGGACCGAGTTTGGACAGCCCTGAGTTAGATTAAGCAAACTCTATGGCGATGGGATCAGTCATTACGTTATGTGAAAAAAGGCAAGGAGCTAAACTCGGCAGGACCCCGGCCCTCCAGGACCGAGTTTGGACAGCCCTGAGTTAGATTAAGCAAACTCTATGGCGATGGGATCAGTCATTACGTTATGTGAAAAAAGGCAAGTAAAACCAAAAAATTTATTATTTTTAACAAAACTCAGCTTTAACGGAGAAATTTGTTTTGAAAATCTCTTTATTTGGCATTTAAATTTAAAATCACTTATATAATTTTTTTTTTATTTATAATAAATTTCAATTTTTTTATATATATATATAATATAAAAAACTTTTAAAAGCCTTTGACAGTTGCTTTACTTGACAATTCAGTAACAACTTGCCAAATACATTTACAATTATTTAAAATTAAATATATTTATACGTTTAACAACGTAGTTAAACAAATATTCAATTTTCTATATTTAACAACAGAGTTATATTTAATAGTTTATACTTACATTAAATAAACTGTTCAAGTGCCTTTTCTTTTACTATTTTAATGTATTCACATTAGCATTTTTCACCCATAAAACATTTAGAAACATTTATTTTTGTTCAGCTGCAAATAGTTCATTTTTGAATGTTCAAAAATAAAGGATTACCACCCCTACCAAATACTTTTGTTCACTAGCCGTCAATCTTAACATAAGACAATTTTATTAATTGTTAATTATTAATACAATACAGTACAGTGATTTTCAAGTTAAAATTGTGAATTGTGCACAACAGTGACTGTTAAATATGTATTTTAGGTATGGTACCTGCATATTTAGAGTTTGGGTATTTCCACTAGAATTTGGGATAGTTTAATTGGTCAAACTGAGCTAATTTTGATTGGCCAATGGGCTGCTTTTCTAAATCAGATCTGGCAACCCTGCACACCACCAAACAACTATTGTCCCCTTAAATATTTATGTGATTATGCATATTTTATACATGACTGAAATCCAGCTGTATGTTGAGCTTCACTCTCACCAGCTGCTGCTCCTGCCAGCGGGTGGCGCTGTCTCGACGCAGAGGATTCAGACTGCGCATAGCATCAACCAGCCTCCAAACACCACCCTTCTGCAAAATCACACAAATTAAAGATCACTCATCAGAGCAAGTCAAGTAACTGAAGACCGAATAAGTGTTAATATGCGAATTTGGGCAGTCATATTTCAATGACTTAATGGTTGTCATGGCATAGAAAAGACCATTTCTAAATTCTCTGTGTGGATGGGAGAGAAAGCAAACTCATCTTGCACTCAACTTTTTTTTAAATCCAACAAATAAATAAATAAATATGATGTCCTGCCTTTATCGAAAAACTACCTGCCACTAACTAGCAATAACTTCACTGTGAAAACTGCACTAATCTAACAAATTTATGGGGTATTTAAAACTGGGGTGCATTACTAACAATGTACTTACTGATGCCAAATTACATGAAAAAAATAGTTGTTAATAATGTAATCCATTACATCACACATTTTAGGTAATATAATAGGACTACTTTTTGATTACTTTTAGATTGCTTTTAAACTAAAAAAAGGATAATCTTAGTACCATATCAAAATATATATTTCTTTTGAACTTGCAACCCATAGCAACACCCTAGCAACCACCCCAAGTACCCTAGCAACCGCATAGCAACACCTTAGCAACCCCACCAGGTACCCTAACAACCACCCCAAGTACCCTAGCAACCATCCAGAATACCTTAGCAATATTTCTAAGCCATATTAACTCATTTAAACTTCTATTGTATCTAATATTTCTAATCTATTACTATCTTTAGCTACCTCTTTCTATATCTACCCATCTTTCTATATCTACCTACTCATCTATCTATCTATCTATCAATCACTATCCTTATCTACCTCTTTCTATATTTACCCATATTATATCTACCAACCCATCTTTTTATATCTATCTATCTGACTGTATTGCCTTCAAAATATTTAAGCTTTAAAACTCCTTTAAACTTCAAACTGTTTCAGACTGAAAACCGTCAAATTATTAAAACAATTTCAAAAACTTTTTTTTTAATTTTTGGTCAGGCTTTTTCAAGCCAACTTAAAGTTTGTCTTGACAAACTTGATCTAGTTTGTTTATCACATTGATTTTAATAGGATAATCTTAGTGCCATATCAAAAGATTTAGATTTCTTTTGAACTTTCCATTTATCAAAGAATCCTGAGAAAATTGTATCATGGTTTCCACAAAAATATTAAGCACAACCGTTGTAAACATGGATAATATTAAGAAATGTTTCTTGAGCAGCAAATCAGAATATTAGAATGATTTCTGAAGGATCATGTGAGGGTAAAGACTGGAGTAATTTAATAACAGTAATACTATTTCACAATATTACTGTTTTTACTGTATTTTTGATCCAATAAATGTAGCCTTGAAGAGTGTCTTTCATTTACAGCTTTATTAAAAGTATCGGATGCTGGTATGTTTATTATGTCCTCTTGAGTATCGGTCCACAGACCGATTATTGATTCCTGTCTGGGTCATGGACACACAAACCACATGTCTGTGGTTTTTACCATTTTAGCCTACATGCTAAACATCCTTTGAAACGAAGAAAGATAATGGTAATACATAATATTTAAAGAAACAAACTTCAGATTCGATATCTTGAAATGTCAGAACAAATCAGAAAGAAAGTGACTATAGTTTTGGGAAAGTATAATGTGCATTCAGCCTCACACACTGAGGAGGTTCTGCCTGTTTTGTCTTCTATCCTTTCTTCATGTCTTTAGTATTCCGTTGCTGTAGGACTCACATTCTAGATGCTTTGAGTGTGTGTCAGACAACTAAAGAACAGAAAGAGAAAGACTGTGTGTGTGTGTGTGTGTGTGTGTGTGTGTGTGTGTGAGAGAGAGAGAGAGACACATCGTAGACTGGGAACACAAACAAGGACAGCCTGAGCTGTGTAAACTAAAGACAATAATGATATTCAACGTGGAAACATTCCAAATAAATTCTAAAATAAAGTATAGACGTGCACACACACACACAAACAATATTTTGCACTGCCAAAAGGAATGAGCTCTATTTACACACTGAGTGGAATGACAGCACATTCCCAAAAGAGACTGGAAAATTCTACAGTCATTCATCTCTTCCTGTTTCTGAGGTGACCATGAAACCGGCCTTCAGTTTCACACTGGTGACTATTGTAACAGGAGCCAATTGTAACACTTTTTCCCAACTACAGATAATTTGGAGTGATAATACTTATTCAGCACATGCTTTGTTTGTTCTTTAAAGGAACACTCCACTATTTTTGAAAATGGGCTCATTTTCCGACTCCCCTAGAGTTAAACAGTTGAGTTTTACCGTTTTCGAATCCATTCAGCCGCCCCAACTACAGATAATTTGGAGTGATAATACTTATTCAGCACATGCTTTGTTTGTTCTTTAAAGGAACACTCCACTATTTTTGAAAATGGGCTCATTTTCCGACTCCCCTAGCGTTAAACAGTTGAGTTTTACCGTTTTCGAATCCA